CACCACTCAGCAAGCCAGCTACGACAGAGAATTTGCCAGAGCTCTTAAGGTGTTCTACCAAAGCATGAATGTGGCCAGAGGGCAGTTTCTCAAACTGAGACATTATAAACCTCCTGTAAGTATCCAGCATCCTGGGAGCCAAAGGATTATCTTTCCCTTAAATATAACTCTTGGATAGAACAGCATTTCCCGAGGGTGGGGTGGGTGTGTGTTTAAGAAGAGCAGGTCAAGGCCGGGAACACTGTGAGTCTGCTGCTTTCAGGCTTCCACCCACCTCTGTTCCCATTTTTCACTTTAGTGTACATCTGGTTGGTTCAAGGAGGCTGTGGCCCCTGCAGGATTGAGATTCCTGCACTTTATGACATATAGAATATCCCGGAAGTACACATTTGCTTTATTGTTATAAAACCAAAGAAATATAATTCATCACACTAAGATATTATAGGAGAAAAATCATGGTCACTTCAATAGATACTGAAAAAGCATGTGATAAAATTCAGCAGCCTCCCACAATAAAAACCCTTAGCAAACTAGGAACAAAATGGACATTTCTTACTGACAAAGGCAGTCTTAAACACACAGGAAGCATAATCTTAATGGTAAATCATAGATGTCAGCTATCTTCACTTTTTTTTTACATTGTACTTTAGGTTCTAGCCAGTGTAGCAAGGCCAGAAATAAAAGGTATAAAGATTGGAAAGGGGGATAAAAAGTAATAATCATAATAGCAAACATTTATATAAAACTTGGGGGCTTCCCAGGTGGCACTAGTGGTAGAGAACCCGCCTACCAATGCAGGTTAGATGTAAGAGACATGGGTTCAATCCTGGGGCAGGAAGATACCCTGGAGAAGGGAATGCCTACCCACTCCTGTATCTTGCCTGGGAAATCCTACATGGATAGAGGAAACTTGTGGACTATAGTCCATGGGGTTGCAGAGTTGGACACCACTTGACAACTAAAAACAACATAATACATACTAAGTGTTTTTATATTTACTGAGTTCTCACAACCACCAGACGGGTGTGTGTATGTGTTAGTCGCTCAGTTATGTCCAACTCTTTGTGACCCTATGGACTGTAGCCCACCAGGTTCCTCTGTCCATGAAATTCTCCAGGCAAGAATACTGGAGTGGGCCGCCAATCCCTTCTCCAGGGGACCTTCCCGACACAGGGATTGAACCCTGGTCTCCTGCATGGGCAAATTCTTAAGCACTGAGCCACCAGGGAAGCCCATAAATCAGTATAAAAACTTAAAAAATTGTTGCTATTTATCTAATAAAAATCAAAGATGCACCTCCCCTATAAGCCTGCAACTCAACTCCTCTTCTCCACAGAGTAAACTGGTTCTGCAGAGAACTGCGCCCTCATGCCTTGAGGCAGAGGGTCTTGGAGTGTGGTCCTCCCCTCAGCAGCTGCAGCATTATCTGGAATCTTGTCAGAAATGCAAATTCCAGGGTCCCCTCCCAGACCTACTGTGTCAGAATCTCTGGATGTGAGGTCCAGTCAACTGTGCTTTAACAAGCCCTCTAGGTGATTCTGCCTTCAACTCAAGTTTGAACCACCTCTCTTGGCATGCTATGTATGTAATTAATTAATTTTTCTCCTACCTATCTGGAATGGCCCTTGTTATACACTATTCCTGAAAGAACTGGGAAGATAGTCATTCATTTTCTGTTCTGTGGTTCAGATGGTGGTCCAGGTGAAAAATCCTGTAGAAACCCACGCATATATGCATAAGATGGTATTTTAATCATTTTCCATTATAGCCCCCCAGATGGGAACATCCTAATGCACATCCACAGAAGATAGGTAAATTACGGCACAAGTGGCCAGAAAGTGGCCAGAAAACAGGCAAAATATAGGGCTGGTTAGAGCTGCATTCTAGGTGGCAAGAAAATGACGATCGACTTAGGTTAGTGGTTGCTTCTGGGAGTGGGGAAATGGGTGTGACCAGGAGGAAATCAAGAGACAGTGTTTTCTTGAGCAGACATGTTTAATTTGTACCTATGCATACATTTTGGGCACTCTTGGATATACCAGTTCAGTTCAGTTGCTCAGTCGTGTCCGACTCTTTGCAACCCCATGGACTGCAGCATGCCAGGCTTCCCTGTCCATCACCAACTCCTGGAGCTTGCTCAAACTCATGTCCATTGGATTGGTGATGGCATCCAACCATCTCATCCTCTGTCGTCCCCTTCTCCTCCTGCCCTCAATCTTTCCCAGCATCAGGGTCTTTTCAAATGAGTCAATTCTTTCCCTTCTCCTCCTGCCCCCAATCCCTCCCAGCATCAGGGTCTTTCCCAATGAGTCAGTTCTTCCCATCAGGTGGCCAAAGGATTGAAGCTTCAGCTTCAACATGAGTCCTTCCAATGAATAGTCAGGACTGATTTCCTTTAGGATAGACTGGTTGGATCTCCTTGCAGTCCAAGGGACTCTCAAGAGTCTTCTCCAACACCACAGTTCTAAAGCATCAATTCTTCAGCGCTCAGCTCACAATAAAGAAAGAAGGAAAAACTAGTGTGGTGAAAGACACTAAAGTGAAAAATAAGCCACAACCTGGGAGAGTCTATTTGTATTGTTGTTGTTATTGTTGTTCAGGCACTCAGTCGTGTCAAGCTCTTTGTGACTCCATGGACTGCAGCACACCAGGCCTCCCTGTCCTTCACCATCTCCCAGAGTTTGCTCAAACTCGTGTCCGCTGAGTCAGTGATGTTAATATCCAGAATAAACAAACAACTACATATTTATTTCATTAAAATAAGAAAGACAACACGTGGCAAAACACATTGGAAAAAATGGCCAAAGTATTTGAGCAGGCATTTCACTAATCATCAGGGAAAAGAAACTAAAAGGAGATGCCCTGACACACTACCTGCCCCTTGCCTGCTCCCCATCTCTGTGAGCACCATTCACCTCCTCTTACCATTGCTCACAGGCTCCCTGGCCCACAGGGGTACCTGCAGTAGTCCCTTCTCCTATAGGGCAGGGGTATACCAGTCAACTCTATCGATGGGAGAATCCCCACCCACATGGTCCTTTGCAAACTTCAGAACATCTACAGTATTATACCAGTCCCCAACATTTGGATTCTCTCACCAATTTTCCCTGTTGACAATAAGTAACCAGAACAGACCTGTTCCTAGGTGAATTGCTGCCTCTGGTAGCAGCTTTCAAATGCAGCTTTCCAGCTCAAAGGGAGACCTTACTGGGCACCCCTTCATGTACACACATCATCCTTTTACCATAATGAAGTGAGTCCATTAAGATTGAAACTAAGCGGGACACTTCAGGCCCTTCTGAGTACAAATCCCCTCCATGTTCCTCATTTCTTGTTTGGAGAAAAAGACTTTCCTCTCCTAGACCTTCCCTGAGTTCCAAAGAGCAGATTCAAGCAATTACTAACTAGGGGAGTGAGGGAACACAGACACAAAGGAAAAACAAGCCCAGCATCATCTTTTCCATGATTGTCAGCTTAAAACAATGCGCTGACTTATGACCCCAAACTGTGGAGATAATGCTCAATCAAATGGCCCTAAGTGTGAGGTGAATCACACTGACTGAAACCACTCACCCTGGCCAGCCAGCAGGATGGATCTGAGATGAGTCTAGGTCTCTCATCTTCAGAGCTGGCGCCTTCTTAACTAATACAAGCTTCTCTGCTCCAAACTTCACTATTTCAGCTTGTTTGGCTTCACTGTGCATTGGGCATATGAATTTGGGGTTTGACAATATCATTTTTTCCTTTCATTTATTTTTAGGAAGATGATCAAATGCTTCGGTCATTTGTACACCAACAGTCACAAATGCTAAAGGACTTTGGGGACCTACTTGAATCCAGCTTGTGGAAACTGAAAAATGATGTTGCTCTTATAGTGAAACAGAAGAAAGAATGTTTATTGCATATGGAATAGTGTTCAGTTCAGTTGCTCAGGCCTGTCCGACTCTTCGCGGACATAGACTGCAGCACGCCAGGCTTCCCTGTCAATCACCAACACTTGGAGCTTGCTCAAACTCATGTCCATCAAGTCAGTGATACCATCCAATCGTCTCATCCTCTGTCGTCCCCTTCTCCTCATGCCTTCAATCTTTCCCAGAGGATACACCAACTGAAAACATTTGAGCTTTGAGTTGTCAAGATTATTTAATTAACTTGGCTATCGGAGCTGAACTGTGGACTCAACCTAGTCAACCCATTTCTCACTCACACAACCTATTACACTGCTTTCAAGCAAAATTCCTTTTTATTTAAAATCATGTAAAAATGAATTCAGGCTGAAGGTGAGGTGGAAAATATGAGCAGAGAATGGTTAGCACTCTGAGCAAGAGGATCAACAGCCTGGAGCTGAATCCATGACTAATCAGTTCTGTGGTTTGGAGCAAGCGTTGTCCCTTATCTAAGCCTCTTTCCTTATCTGTTCTTCTTTAAGTTAAAGACACTCTTTCTTCTATACAGTTTGTACAGCTGCTGCTGCTGCTAAGTCACTTCAGTCGAGTCTGACTCTGTGTGACCCCAGCCCACCAGGCTCCCCCGTCCCTGGGATTCTCCAGGCAAGAACACTGGAGTGGGTTGCCATTTCCTTCTTCAATGCATGAAAGTGAAAAGTGACAGAGTTGTCTCCTAACATGAGTAAGATTCTTATCAGTTTCATGCCTCTCACTGTATTGCAGAAATTCCATAAAGGAAATGGTTGTCCTCTTTACATGATGAATGTAACAGAACACTTATTTGTGTTTATGGTATGATTACAAAAGGAAAAGTTTTTGCCTTATTTTTGGGCTTCAGTGGAAAATGTAGTTAAATATAAAAAGTAAATTAGACAAAACTTTTGCTTAGGTAGTGAAAATCAGTAGAAACTTACCAGCTATATCCTTCAAACTAACCACAGGTATAGAACCAGGGAAAATGAATGGTAAACCCAGTTATTAGCAGGACACAGACCACTTGGGAAGCACATTTCTACCATTACTCAATTACACAGATATGTCCAAACACAAATCCACTGTTCAACTGACAATCCTTTATTATTAAACTTAGGTAAGAGTCCAAAATCAGTCAGTGTAGATGGGTGAAAAACTAGGCTAAAACAGCAAAAACTGCAGTTTCATTTGGCAAAGGCCTACACTATGCAGAGAAATTCATGGGAAAGTGAGATCCCATTTGATACCATGACAGAAAATAGCAGCCACTATCTCACATGACCACCAGCCTGGGTGCGTCAGCAACACAGACAGAGCCACCCATCCCATCCTCTGATCTGCCAGCTCACTTATAAAAAATGACCATGAATTCTTCAATGAAAAAGTCAGTCAAATATTGTTTTCTCTCAAAAACAATAAAATCACAAAAATCAGCTAAGATTTGAAATTTAGGGTAAGCTAGTACAATTTCCTGCTTTTTAATGTATACATATTTTAGATTTGACAATCTTTTCCACATATAGTCAGATAGATTTATAGAAGCATTTCAACATATCAAATTAAAAAGCTGTTAATTCATACATTTTATGACTTCAATTAATTATTAAAATGTTTAGACTTCAGTGCTGCTAATGACACTAAATTCAATGCCACGTTCGTTGAGTCTGTCAATCAACTTTGTTCTGCAGAAAGCTGCTCCAGGCGTGAAGACTCCACCCCTGAAAGACAACAGGGTGAAAACAGTGCACAATGCCCAGCTCCAGCCCCTTCCTCTGCTAGTATGATCTGCTGGACAGCTAGCTCTCAAATCAATGCAAGACTTATAAAAACCTGATTCTTGATTTCCTTATGGATTGTTTTCGGTTCCATTTCTAAAACCAGCCAAGTGAGCAGTAGCTATTATTCAAGAGGAAACCAGTACCTAGCAAACCTGTCTAGACTGGTTCAGTGATAAGGAGACTGTTTCCACAACGCTGGTGTGTGTGTTGGAAGGGGCACATGGAGGGTTATCAACCCAAGTAACAGTTGCTGTTTATAAAGTCAGCCCTAAGACTCGGGAAGATTAAATATACACATGCGTGTGTGCTAAGTCGCTTCACTTGTGTCCAACTCTTTGCAACCCCATGTACTGCAGCCTGCCAGGCTCCTCTGGAATTCTCCAGGCAAGAATACTGGAGTGGGCTGCCATGCCCTTCTTCAGGGGACTGTCTCTACCTAGGGATTGAACCCGTGTCTCTGTCTCCTGCACCGGCAGGCGGGTTCTTTACTACCAGAGCCACCTAGGAGGCCTCTAAACACACACGTGGACAAAATAAACTTAGGTGATCGATCCCTAACAGAGCACACACAGGACAAGCAGGGTGAAAAAGAAGTGGTTTTTTTAAGTGTAATGGCTACCATTCAGAAAATGCTAAATATTTTCAAAGAGTATACAAATATTTGAAGAAAATGTAATTAAGTTTCACTTCATATAATTTTTATGTTTATTACTTACTAGTTTTAGGTCATACCTGATTTGTTTCTAAGCCTGCAAGCCTATGCTTATTTGTAAAGCTGGCCTACTTTTAGGCTAACAGCTAAATCCTCCAGTAAGATAGTGCACTTAATAATTATCTAGCCAGGATGCCATGAATCAAGGCACTCACTGCCAGCTGGGTATCATTCAGCATGGATTAAGGGCTCCTGCCAATAACACTGAACTATGGTGGCCTTTTTTGAGTAGCTAACTTTGGATCTAAGTTATTTTTTGAAGGAACAGAAGCCAACTTACATGGCTCTCAACTTCTGTCTCCTCTCATTTATTTCTGCACTGTTCCTAGAAGTCAGTAAGGAACTGTCCTCACGATTTTAAGTTCATCTCTCTCTTCGGATCAAACGTACTGTAAACCCAATGCCTGAAAACTGAACTAAAATAAGCTAAAATATAAATGAAAAAGATATCTTTAAATTTGAAGAAAACCAGACTTACGCCTTAGGAAGATCAGAGACATCATTTAGAAGAGTCATGGCTGCCTGGACCATGGCTATGGGGGTAGCTACATAGCCAGCTTCTGCAGAAAACCGGTGATTAAGAAAAAGAAAGTGTCCATAAACTAGACATTTAACAGCTCCCAAAAATCAAATGGTAAATTTTATATCTTAGTGTACAGAATTTCCTTAATATTCTGTTCATGAAATAACAGAAATAACAATTAACATTTATATAGTCCTTACTAAGTGTTAGGAACTGTATTAAGTGCTTTAAATCTATTAAACTCATTTAATCCTCTTAACAATCATACAAGGTTAGTACTATTTTATATCCATTTTACAGATGAGGAAACTGAGGCATAGAGAGGTTAAGTGCCTCATTCACATTCACAGAGTTAGACACTGGTTGAACCAGAATCACATGCGGGCAGCTAGCTCAAGCCAACACTCTTACCAACGATCCTAGATTTATTCATACACTGTGTGATCTTTGTGACCCCTTAGACTGCAGCCCATTCAGCTCCTCTGTCCACGGGATTCTCCAGGCAAGAATACTGGAGTGGGTTGCCATTTCCTTCTCCAGGGGATCTTCCCGACCCAGGGATCAAACCCTGGTCTCCTGCACTGCAGGCAGACTCTTTACCATCTGAGCCACCAGGGAAGCCCAACTCATACACTAAACTGACCTTTATCAATCAAATACACTAAACTTCACTTTAAAAAACAGACTCAGTTTCTTAAAGGACAACTGAGTAACTCTCAAAGAAGTCTAACTTTAAGAAGTAACTTTAAAAGAAGTCTATAAACCAGTAGAACATTGGTGTTTATATTCATGTCAAATAAGAACATAGCCTATCCTAAAAACCCAAGTGGAAATTTGAAAAAAATGCAAGATGCAAAGATATCTTTGCTATTGGGCTTCATTAAAACTGTACAACAGATACCTGTGATCTATTAGGAAGGAGAGTAATGAAATGTAACTCACAGTGGGACTGTCTCTGTATAGTTCTCTAAAATTTACAGTACTAGTTACTGAATGTTTTGGGGTGAGTTTTTTTTAACAACCTATCAAAATTTTTACCCTCCCTGGAAAAACACACATGTGCACATATTTTACAAGCAATGTCAGGGTGATCACAGACTCCAAAGAAAGCTTGGACCACAGCCTTGATTACAATTATGCTACTGTTATAAGTAAAAGGCTTTAAAGTGACCCTTGAGGAAGAGCACAGAACAGATAAATATCGATCAGTCCCTTGTCTTCTCATATTAAAAATTCCATTCAGAATTACTGAGTCATACTGAAAGAAAAAAAATCAGAGAGGGACACAACAATAAAACTGAATAATACCAATAATTCCAATCCTTTTGACAGAATTATCATTTTTGTATTTATCATTATTAAATAACTGTGCAAATTTATTTCTAAAACAACTTTTAAAAAGAAATTAGGACTAACACACCACTTTATAGCTCAAGACAATGTAAAACTCCCAAACGTTCTTAAGTCACATGTGAAATACCTGGTCCTTTCACCTGAGTACAAATTCTGATATTTGGTTTGTTCTTAACAGGAGAGACGTCTTGGCTGAATCCTTGACCAAAAAATGTCATCGTAAATGATGAGGCATCAATCTGAGGAAGAGAAAGCAAAGAGTTTATTCAATAAATATGTCATTTCCTCCTTGAGCACAATAAAACATTCTATCAACATTATACTTCATATAAGACATTTTTAATAGATAACAACAATCAATATTCTATTAGATAGAATATCCTGTCATCCTTAACTAAGCATGGAACAACAAATAATTCTTTGAAGAACCGTAAGTTTTGTTGACTGGTGTAATGTTCTGGGGACAGAGGTAGTGAGGAATAAAGCTGAATCTTAGTGAAGAATAAAGATGAATCTTAGGCTGTGGCTGAAAGAACAGCATCACTAAAACAGGCAGTTTCAGAGGAAAAGCTGGAGGTAGTTTTTATTTTTGGACAGAATATGTTACTCTGGTTTTAGATATGTTTCAGATGAGAAGACAAAAATAGTCAGCAAGTAATGGTAATATGGGCCTAGGATATAGACACAAAACTGCTCCATTTAAAAGTATAAAAATTTGATTCAAAATTAAATTATAAAAGATTTATCCAAGCATCTGTCATAATCACTAAACTTAGATATAAGGTAACAAAGCCATGGTGAACAAATTTTTATTAAGTATAAACCAAGGGTCAGACATTATGTTAGGTCCTGAGACATAAAGTATTTATAAAATAAAATATATGGCACTTCTAGAGCTTAGTTTAGGGGAAGGGGGAAGATTGTGTGTGTGTGTGTGTGTGTGTGTGTGTGTGTGTACACACACATGAAATCTAGTAACAATATGAAACATGAATTAGAAGTACAGGGCTAGTTTAGTGGACAGCATTATTAAATTTACTGAGCAGGAGGCCAGGGTTTTGAATTGTGTGTGTCCTCACAGCACACATACATTCTAATACAGAAGTTTATTACAAAGAAAAGTAAGGTAGGTACCAGAAAGGAGAAATCATTATTTAAAGGCAAAACCAGACAAGGTGGCTATAAGAAATGAAAATTACAGCCCATATCTCTGATGAATGTGAGTGCAAAATGAAAGTGAAAGTCAGTCAGTTGTATCTGACTCTTTGCGATCCCATGGACTGTAGCCCGCCAGGTTCCTCTGTCCATGGAATTCTCCAGGCTAGAATACTGAAGTGGGTAGCCAGCCATTCCCTTCTCCAGGGGATCTTCCCAACCCAGGAACTGAACCCAGGTCTCCCGCATTGAAGGGGGATTCTTTGCCAAGTGAGACGCCAGGGAAGCCTCAGTTTCCTGTGCAAAGTCCTCAGCAAAATATTAACAAACTGAATTCAACAATACATTGAATGGACCATAAGCTATAATTAGGATCTGGCTATCAAGCTAGTGATAAAGAACCCGCCTGACAGTGCAGGAGGCATAAAAGACATGGGTTCAATCCCTGGGTCAGGAAGATCCTCTGGAGGAGGGCATGGCAACCCACTCCAGTATTCTTGCCTGGAGAATCCCATGGACAGAGGAGCCTGGTGGGCTACCGTCCATAGGGCCGCAAAGAGTTGGACACAACTGAAGTGACTTCACACAGCACAACACAGCACATATTATACTTAAGTGGGATTTAGTTTAGGGATGCAAACATGTTCAACATCCACAAATAAGTCAATGTGATATTCCACATTAACAAAATAAAGGATAAAAATCATATAATCATCTCAAACACAGGAAAAGCACTTGACAAAATTCAACATCCATTTATAAAAAAAAGTCTCAACAAAGTGTGTATATAGAGGGGACATATTTCAACATAATAAAGACCATATATGACAAACCCATAGCTAACAGCATACTCAGTGGTAAAAAGCTGAGAGCTTTTCTGAAAGCTTTTCTTCTAAGATCAGAAACAAGACAAGAGCACCCACTCTTGCCACTTCTATTCAACATAGTATTTGGAAGTCCTAGTCACAACCATCAGACAAGAAACAGAATACAAGGAATCTAAACTGGAAAATAAGAAGTAAAATTGTCACTGTATGCAGAGGTCATGATATTACATATAGAATATCCTAAAGGTACCACCAAAAAACTATTAAAACTAATAAATGAACTCAGTAAAGTTGCAGGATATAAATACAAAGTTAACATACAGAAATTCATTGCACTTCTATATACTAACAATCCAAAAGAGAAATTAAGAAAACAACCTTATTTACAATCCCATCAAAAGGAATAATACCAAGAAATAAATCTAATCAAGGATGTAAAACACTTGTGCTTGAGAAACTATGACACTAATGAAAGAAACTGAAGATGACACATAGAAATATATACCATGCTCTTGGATTGTAAGAACTAATATTGTTAAAATGACAATACTACCAAAGAAAATCTACATAGTCAATGCAATACCTATCAAAATACCAATGGCATTTTTCACAGAATCAGATAATTCTTAATAATAATTAAGATTATCAAATAATATCAGATAATCAAATAATTCTTAAATTTGAAGTCTAAAGACCTCAAAGAGTCAAAGTAATCCTGAGAAAGAATAACAAAGCTGGAAGTATCATCTTCTCTAATTTCAAATTATAGTACAAAAGTACAGTAATCAAAACAGTATGGTACTGAGAACTCCCTGGCGATACAGGGGTTAGAACTCCATGCTTCCACTGCAGAGAGCATGGGTTCAATCTCTGGTTGGGGAACTAAGATCCTGTAAGCTGTGCAGCATGGCCAAAAAAACCCCCAAAAACCAGTATGGTATTGGCACAAAAAAAACAGACACATAGATCAATGGAACAGAATAGAGAGCTCAGAGATAATCCCACACTTACATGTTCAATTAATCTACAACAGAGGAGGCAAGAACATACAACAGAAAAGACAGTCTCTTTAATAAACTGTGTTGGGAAAACTGGACAGCTACATGCAAAAAATCAAACTGGACTACTGTTTCACAACATACAGAAAAACAAACTCAAAATGAATTACGAACTGAAATATAAGACTTGAAACCACAAAACTCCTGAGAGGAAAACATAGGTAGTTTGTTCTTTCACACTGGTCTTAGTGGTTTTTTTTTCCCATTCATTTTTATTAGTTGGAGGCTAATTACTTTACAATATTGTAGTGGATTTTGCCATACATTGACACGAATCAGCCAGGGATTTACATGTGTTTCCCATCCCGATCCCCCCTCCCTGGTCTTAGTATTTTACTGGATGTCTCCTTAGTCAAGAGAAACAAAAGCAAAAATAAACAAGTGGAACTACATTAAACTGAATTCTGCACAGTGAAACTATCAACAAAACAAAAAGACTGCCTACTGAACGGAAGAAGATACTTGCAAAAAATGTATCCAATAAGGAGTTAATACCTAAAATATACAAAAATACATACAATTCAACCAAACAATCTGATTAAAAATGGGCCTGAATAGACATTTTTCCAAAAATACATACAGGTGACTAACAAAACATGCTCAATATCAGTAATCATCAAGGAAATGCAAATCATATGATCCAGCAAGTCCACTTCCAGATATTTATTTGAAGCAAACAAAAACACTAATTTGAAAAAATATATGCACCTCCATGTTCACTGCAGCATTATTTACAATAGCTGACATATGGAAACAACCTAAATATCTGCTTATGTGTAAAGAAAATGTAGTGTGTGTGTGTGTGTGTGTGTGTGTGTACACGTACACAGACAAACACACAGAGGAATCTTATTTAGCCATAAAAAAGAATGAAATCCTGCCATCTGTGATGACATGGATGGACTTCAAGTAAAGTAAGACAAAGATAAACACTGTATGTTCTCTCATTGGTGAGAACGTAAATCGGTACAGCCACCATAGAAAACAGTATGGAGGTTCTTTAAAAAAACTAAAAACAGCTACCATATGATCCAGCAATCCCACTCCTGGTCATATATCCAGAATAAAGGAAAACTTTAATTCAAAAAATAAATGCATGTCAATGTTCATAGCAGCACTATTTATAATAGCCAAGACACGGAAACAATCCAAGTGTTCATCAACAGACAACTGGCTTAAGGAGATGTGATATGTATGGTGGTGGTGGTGGTTTAGTCGCTAAGTCATGTCTGACTCTTACGACCCCATGAACTGTAGCCCGCCAGGCTCCTCTGTCCATAGGATTTTCCAGGCAAGAATACTGGATTGGATTGCCATTTCCTTCTCCAGGGGATCTTCCCGACCCAGGAAATGAACCTGGGTCTCCTGCATTGCAGGCAGATTCTTTACCGACTGGGCTATGAGGGAAGCCCATGATATGTATATATACAATGAAATATAACTGTTATAAAAAAAGAATGAAATATTGCTGTTTGATGGACCTAGAGAATACCATACTAAGTGAAGTAAGTCAAACAGAGAAAGACAAATATTATGTGATATCATTTATATGTAGAAATTAAAAACTGATACAAAATATAAACAAACTCAGACATAGAAAATAAATTTGTTACCAAAGAGCAAAGGGGGAGGCAGATAAATTAAGAGTAGGGTATTAATAACTACAAACTACTACACACAGAATAGATCAGCAACATGGATTTACTGTATAACAGAAGGAACTATATTCAATACCTATAATGCAAAATAATGTGAAATATATATTTATGTATAACTCAGTTACTTTGCCGTATACCTGAAACTAACACAATATAGTAAATCAACTACACTTCAGTAAACAATTACATCTGACCCTGTTATCACCTTCTTTAAAATACTGGCCTGACTTACTGCTTTGCCAATGACTCTTAGACCTGGGACTTTATACATCAGAGTCACTCAGGGAGCTTTTTTCAAATACACGTTGTGACCCCGGCATCTGGACATTCTGATTCAGGAGGTGTGATGTGAAACCTCATGGCAGAGATCTCAGCTTTGGGAGAGAGCCCAAAACGGATGACCAGAGATGCAGGTTTGACAGGTGTAGAATGTGGCTTGGGCACTGGACTTTTTGAAAGCTCTTCAGTGATGTAAATGCACACTCAATTTCATAAAAGCATTATTCAAAATAGACAAAAGATAGAAGTAACCCAAATGTCAATGCACAGATGAGTGGATAAGCAAAATAGGGTATATACAATCAGCCCTCTGTATCCCTGATGAACTAAAATGGTTAAGATGGGAAATTTTATGTCATGCATATTTTAATTTTACTACAATTAGAAGGAAGTGGTGGAGAAGGGATACAGGAGAGAAGAGAGAGGGAACTAAGGTAGTTGTGATGGATTTGGAGAAAAATCTGGAGTGACGCCTATGTTCTTGATTGGTCAGATGATAGTGCCACCAACTGACATGGGAAACACAGAAGGAAGAAGAGGGTCTGATGGAAAGAAGTTCAGATTTTACACGTTATATTTGAAGTGCCTAAAGCAGTCATATTGAGGATATTGGACAGGTGACAATTCAATTCATCTACCATGGGAATCCAGGGTGTGTGAAAGAGGAAAAAGGAAGTAACTTTGGGAGAGGGACAGAGGAGGTAAAAAGGATGAGATAATGAAGGAGTAAAACTGAAGAACAAAAATTCTGAAATTTCTATGATGTAAAGAGAGCACAATTTCTGGAGCCAAACAGCTCAGTTCTCATTGTAGCCTGGCCATCTACTCACTACAGGACTTTGGCAAATTTCTTAGCCTCTCTGTTACTTATTTTCCTCATTTATAAAATGGATATAACACCTCCCTTAAGGAGTGTTTGAAAAGATTCAGTAATCTAATGTATATAAAGAACATAAGAATGTTTGAAACACAGGAAGTGCTTCATCAAGCTTAGCTATTATTATCACTGCACTGAGGAAAAGTAAAAACAAAATTAAGAAAAATATTATTTTAGAGACCTAGATACAAAGGAAAGCGTTACCTGTTTTTGTGTTGGACCTTGTTTTGAAAAATAACCAAAGGAGAAGAGCCATGGGAACTAAAGGGGAAAAAAAAAATACCATTAGTTGTATTTTTTAAAATTCATAGAAAATACTTCTATAGGTTTAATTTCATAAAAACTTACTTACTTTTATGAGAAGTTGCCTTCCAATGCCAAACCTCACAAAGAATAAAAAGAAGAGACCAGCAAACATCAGCTTAATAACAGAAGTGATGCCTCCCACAGTTACATAAGCAGCATACTGAACCTAGATGAAGAATATAAAATCAGAATGTTATGCCTTTCTTAGACCAAGTAATGCAAAAATGTTAGCTACTAATAACTTACTGTATAGTCAGAAATGTAAAATGAAAGCAATTTTCACTTTATGAATGTGTTATGTTCTAAAAGCTTGTTTAGAAAACAGACACTACAGGGACATTTTTTAAAAGGAATTGTTGCAAACAATAATTAGCTCCCCCTGCTTGAATACAAATATGAAAAGTTCATAATCATATACCTGAGTTTAACAATTATACATTATAGAATGTATACTCCACTTACAACCTCTTTAAGAAAATTTTTTTTTAACTTAAATAGTTTCCTCTTCGAGTCTTGGCAGTGGGAATAATGACCTCCCTCACCAATTGAGGACGGGTGGTAGGACGGGACTCCAGAGGTAGCAAGGAGAGAAGAGAGAAGAACCCAGACATCTCCATAAGCAACAGAGAGAGTACTCTGGCAGCTGAAACTCTCAACAGGACTGCTGGGTGAGTACAACACCAGGATTTCCTGCACTGAACTTGCTTCTACTGTCTCGTGTAAAAAATATATTCAGAAGGTCAGATCTGAATTTTGGGAGGAGGCTATTACCACCCCCATAAAATGCAAAATGCTCTACACTACTAATTCTTTATGCTCCCAGAAACTGAATCATGCACTATTCAACTCTTTCTCTTTTGGATTTATAAACATAAAAATCCTACATTAAACTGACAGAGGAAGTGAAACCAACTAGAATACTCTTTATTAAAAAATAAATCATATACACTTACAGGTGACTGCTCTAAATTTTCATGCAAGTAACGCTGAGTTCGCTTCACAACAGACACATCTGCTCCCAAGAAAGGAATGGAATAACTGTTGAGTTCTCTGCAGTAAGAAATTGGCCACCTGCAAGACAGACCCATGTTGCATCTTTTCCATTTACAGTGACCACAACTTTAACTGGTAAATTTTTGAATAAAAACCTTAACTCTTGCTGAGGCAATTAATGATAACAATAATGATGGCAGATCTGCTCTTCATTAAAATTTACTTTAGTATTCATCCTCTGTTCTCTACATTTGCACCCAAATAAGTGACAAGTTAGAACACTAGTGTTCTTCATACCATGGGCACTTAACACATACATAATTTAACCACGTTTTGTACCCCAACAATCTCTCCAGATAATGATAAAAAGAACACTCATTTCAATAGCCAAACTCTGAGTTCAGAGTTCTCACATATAAATACTATTAATATATTGATTAATATATATAAGATCATCAGATTTTTATTGTATAAAACTTAATTGATGTTTAATTTTGATACTGATGCTGAAGTCATAAAACTAGTTTTCCCCAGAATCCAAATGTATTATTATATATGAAGTAGTTAAACTTAGTGTAACATATTAATTATATTTTATTTATCTTTGAAAACAACAGTGAACTCACTACGAAAGTCTCCAGGCTTTTTAAATAGCATATGGTATTAACAGTCAGATAAACAACAATAGGCTTAGAAAAACTGAAGAACAGATTTTGAGATAATATACCTTCTTTTCAATTTTGGTCCAACAATTGGGACAGGCTTCATATCTGACTCATTTCGTAGTTTTTTCAAATTACTCTTATCTCCAAAACCATAAACTGCTGACTTCCAGGTACCATCATGAAGGACCAACCCCTAACAAAATAATTCAAGAGTTAAAGAAACATGTAAACTCATACAACACTGTAAATCAACTGCACTCAAAAAAATATTAAAATATTAAAAAGAAACATGTCTTAAGGGATAATTACTAAAAAGTAAAACCAAGTCATTTATAATCGATACAAAGGACATTTCATCTTATTTGAGCAAGGCATAATCTCTAATTCAATAATCTTGAGATGAATTTTTATCACTGGCTAGGCAGCAGTAACTGCAGAAGGAAATGGCAACCCACTCCAGTGCTCTTGCCTGGAGAATCCCAGGGACTGGGGGAGCGTGGTGGGCTGCCGTCTATGGGGTGGCACAGAGTCGGACACGACTGAAGTGACTTAGCAGCAGCAGCAGCAGGCAGCAGTAACATTCATTAATACAATCATATTCACTGTTTACACCCTTTTTACATACTACATATTTACAACATGTGCCCTTTCTTCTTTCCTCCTACCATTATTTATACTCTATAAACAAGCCAGTGAGTTTCACTTCATCACTTTCACTTAACTATCATGATTGCTTTAAGCAGGAAAAAAGAAATAATAAAACCATCAGAAGATTCATGTTTTCACATGACAGCTTTGATGAAACTGAAAGGTAGAGAGATACCAATCTAACTTCCATTTTGTTACAGATTAATCACTTCTGTTTTGCTAAAACTAAAACAGAGCTAAAAGTCTTCTGAGTTTAATTTGTGAAACTATTCTCAATCTGCGCCTAGCCAATTTGACCTATTTGCAAAGATATCTTAAAATCAGGGGAAAACAGATTTTTTAAAAACTTGAGTATCTTCTTATACAAATAAGCCATTAAAAAGACAAAAATTACATCTCTTTTAAAAAACCTTTTACTTTATTTTGCTAAAAAATAGAAAAGTGCACAGAACATAAAAGCATAATTTAATGTAATTATGAGGCTAACATCTATTTAAGCCCAGAAAGCTTTCCTTCTTTCCTGCCTTTGTGATAATCAAGAAAAAACATTTTTTTTTTTTAGTTTTACCACCTAAGAATTCATTTCTAGACAGTGTAGTAAATTTTGTCTGTTTCTAAATTTTATAGAAATGGAAACATATAGTGTATATTTCTTGAGTTTTGCCTCTTTTGTTCAAAATTGTGATGTTAGGATTCATCATGTGTTAGAAATACCTCTTTACTCTGCAGCTGATCATAACATTTTCTTTGATTAAAAAAATACTCAATTTAAAAATTTTAAATGTATACAAAAATACTATATAGCATATTAGAAATTTGCTGAGAGATGATTTTCTAAGTTCTCATCACAAGAAAAAAAATTATAACTAAGTATGGTGATAGATATTAACTAGTGGTGATCATTTTGTAATACATACAAATACTGAATTATGTTGTACATCTGAATAGTATAATGTTATATGTCAATTACACCTCAATAAAAATAAATTAATAAAATATATTTCTGGGCAAAAAGAAGCCATTCCTGACCTTGAGGCCATGAAATGTCACCTTCTAAAAGCTTAGTGTTTTGCCTTATTCATTAAGGTCTATAACCCACCTAAACATTGTTTCTCCATACCCATCATCTTCTGAAAACTCTTTACCATAAATCAAGTGCTCATATATGCACAAACTACTTTGAGCTCTTTATCCTGTTCTGTTGACCTATTGCTATCTCCCTGCCAATATTACACTGACTTGATATTCAAGAGCATTGTTCTACCTTATTCTCCTTTAAGAAAGTGTTGCCTATTTTCAGCACTCTGCATTTTCATACACATTTTAGAACTAGTCTGTCAAGCTGAACACTAAAAGAAAACAAGCAAAAAAAAAAAAAAAAAGACCTGTTTGGGATTTTGATTGGAATTTAAGGAAAATTGACATCTTAGCAAAATCGAGTATTCCAATCCATGAATATGGTGGATTCTTATATTTACTTGCCTTCAGTTTTGGCTGCAACGGTTCTTTGTTGCACACACAGGCTTCTCAAGCTGTGGTGTGTGGGCTTCTCCTGTTGTGGGGGCCGAGCTCTAGAGCACACAGCCTCAGTAGTTGCTATGCATGGGCTCGGTTTCTCTGTGTCATGTGGGATCTCAGTTCCCGGACCAGGGATTGAACCCGCATCCCCTGCACTGGGAGACAGTTTCTTAACCACTGGACCATCAGGGAAGTCCCTGAAAGTACTTGATTTTTTAATGCTACTATAAATGGTCTCTTTTTCAAAACAATTCATTTTCTAACTGTGGCTGGTATATAGAAATGCAACTGATTTTTATATTTCTGTTTTCCATTCTAGTCTTCTAGCAATAATAAAGACTAGAGTGGAAATAAACAAAACAAAGAAAAGAAAAACAATAAAGTCAATGAAACCAAAGCTGGTTCTTTAAAGAAATCCATCAAATTGAAGAACCTTTAGCAGGACTGACAGAGAAACAGAGAGAGAGAGGGAGGGGGCTCAAATTGCTAAAATCAGGAATGAAAGAAGTGGCATTACCAATCTCACAGAAAGAAAAAGGAGTATAAGGAAATACTATGAACAGTTGTATGCCAAACAAATTATATAACCTAGATGAAATGAACAAATTCTCAAAAAGACACAGTTATGGATCAAGTTGTGTCCTTGCCCCAGATTTCTATGTTGAAGGCCTAACTCCCAGCACCTCAGAATGTACCTTATTTGGAAATAGGTTGTTGCAGGTTTAACTAGTTGAGGGCATGCTGGAGGAAGTGGACCCCCAACCCAAAATTACTGATGTCCTTATACAAAGGAGAAATCTGGACACGCACACACATCATGTGACGATGAAAAAGAGGTCTGAGTGATGCATCAACAAACAAAGGAACACCAAAGAGCACCAGCAAACACCCAAAGCTAGGAGAAAGCATAGAGCTCCCTCACAGTCCTCAAAAGAAACCAACCCCGCCAACATCTTGATCATGGACTTCCAGCCTTCTATCTAGATCTAGACTGCTAGCTAGATCCAGACTGTTAGCTAGATATAGACTTCTGGCCTTAAACACTGTTTCCCTTGTTTAATCCAGTTTGTGGTACTTTATTATGGCAGTCCTAGGGAACTAAACCAGACACAAACTATCAAAACTGACTTAGGAGTATATAGAAAATCCTAAAAACCTGTAAGAAGTGAAGAGACTGAATTCTTGTTATCTCTTCACTGATTTCTAGTATATAATTTCTAGAATATAATCATATTATAGCCTGAAACACACTAAAACAACGACTGGCACACTATTTCTGTAAAAGGTCAAACTAAGTATTTTGGGGTGTGTAGGCCAAATATGGTCTCTGTTACACATTCTTCTTTGTTTTCCATTACAGCTCTTTAACTATATTAGAATTACTCTTAGCTTGCAGCCACATAAGAGCAGGCTGTGGGCTGACACCTGCACTGGAGCTGCACTATCCAGTATGGAAGTCATTATACAGCATATATGGAAAACTGGCATCATCGTGGGAAGATGTACTGGACAGCACTGTCTTAAGAATATGATTTGAATCCTCTGAAATTCTTTGAATCTTGCTTTATGGTCCAATACATTGTCTATGACTCAATTTTTACATAAAGTAATAAAGCTTAAGGGGAAAAGTAGAAGAAGGAGCAGGAGGAGACCAATCCTGGGTCAAGGGATGCATAGAATCAAGGGAGTTATCTTTGTCCATCCTTGGAAAATTAAGGCTCCATATTTTGCTTTAAGGGGAATGAGAAGGCGCTGCATTGATTTTGATGTTTTCAAATCTTTGGTCTGGATCAAGCTCCAACTTTGAGTCCTTTTAATAACAGGACTTAACAATATTTATTGAGTGATTACTAAATGTCAACCACTGTTCTGATTTATATTCACTGACTAATTTAATCCTCAAAATAATTATATGAAGGAGACAGTATTATCATTTTGTATTATAGATCATCTCCTGCTGCTCTTTCAAAAGAAGTCTCTTTTTTTTAGCTCTACTTATTTTCTCATTATCTCCCTGTAGTGCACATCTGTTTTTGTCAGTTCTACACTGTTCCCCTGCAGGAAATTTTAAATTCTGCTACCCTGTCTTCTGCTTACAAAACTCTGTTTCCTATTTGGAATTTGTTCCATGATGTTCAGAAGGGCTTGTTCCTACGATCCCCCTCCAGAGGCCCATGACCCAGGCAGGCCTGGGCTATCTGAGTACTCCATTATACCCCATGTCTCACTGTTTGGCTCAAGAATGACCAAATAAACCAATACCTGAGTAATCTTCCCTAATTTTGCATATTCAAACTCTGCCAGCTGTTCCTGGGAGATCATGAACCTTAAGTACAATGTGTATCTGAGGCCGCCAGCACTTCCCCACCATTGAGAGAGCCTCCACTGAGGAACACAGAATCTCTGAAGAGACGCCAAGAGGACAAGGGGAAAAAATGAGCTCTAATAACATCAGAACATCCAGATCCAGCCATGCTGTTTACCTGCAGACATTCGGTTACAAGAGTCAATAAGCTCCTTTCTGTTTTGTTTAAACCAGGCTGAGTTGGCTTTCGATAACTCATGTTCCCCAGAGTTCCAAGCACATCTTTCATTCTCATTTCTGTACTTCTATTTTAGGTTGCTGCCTCTCACCTTCCAAATGCTATTCACTTTTCAAGGTTCAACTTAATAAGGCCTTCATGAGGCACTCTCAAATTATTCAGTCCTACTATCACTTCCCTTCCCTCTGATACTCTAGCAGATATTATTTGTAACACAAATTTTAGCATGTTTTACAGAGTTCTTTGTGTTCACCAATCTGAACCCATAACTCAAAGGAACAGACCCATTACTTAAAACGTGCTCCACACCATCCCACAGTTACATCTTGATGAAACTATTTCCTCTCCCTTATTTACATCTCCTCAGCACCAATCTTTAAAATTCAGTCCATATCCCAGCTTCTCCAAAAACTCCATGATTTCTGGCCTCCTAGGAAGATGTAGTCCCCAGTCTCAGAATCCTACAGTATTTCACCTGACCTCTTTAATAATAATTCTTGTCTCCTGCTAGTTTAAGTTATTACCTCTTTAAGGATTTGCATGTTGTTCATTGATATGTCACACTATCTTGCACTATTACATATACTTGCATTACACAATACCTGAAATACTATTTTTTTTAAAAGAGAACAAATACTTATGAAGCCTCAAGTATAGACACAGAATTGGGTTACACACTATTGGCAATAAAAGTACTACCACAAAACATGGTCCTATCCATAAAATGCAATTATCTTATGTTCCCAAATAGACCATAAATTCAGTAAGATTACATTTACATCATATATTTCCTGTATGGCCACAAGAGCATCCAACTCCAAGTTAGGCACATAATAAAAACGCACTGATCTGCAGTAAGGTGATAATTTTCTAGGGTGACACCATTTCACCACATAACAATGACAAATGCTTAGTGTTAGGATAAAGGTAGCTGATTCTAATATAATGAATTGGGCAATTGTTTTAAAATAAATTCTAAGTCAAAATAATTCTCAGCAATCTTTAATTTTTAAAATTAAACATAGTGACTTTCATGCACTAAAATTTACAACTATATATACAATTTAATTAATTTAAACCTTTTTAACAGGCAAGTATCATTTCCAAAATGTTTTTTCATATTAACTTAGAAGACATGTGACAAACAAAAACTAACCTCAGGTCCTGAATGTATGGTCAGGAAACTTTCCACAGCAGTTAGTGTACCTAAAAGAGGGGGGAAATGGTAAAAGTAAAAATCAAATAAAAATCTACTAACCCAGGACAAATAATAATAAGCTATTCCTATTCATTTAGGAAACATTTTTATTAAGCTTATAACTGACATAATCAGGAAAATCTGTGCTATAACAGTATTATTAGGTTACTGTAAACAGATTTAAGGAGCAGCTAAAGCCAGATAAATTATTTTAAAAAAGTACTTTAACATAAACTAACTGCTGGTACTGACAAAATGTTTTCCAGCAGTCAAACTGCCACTGCAAAAAATCTTTTCCAATAAGGCAACAATTTAGCTCATTCATTCTGGCAGCCCATCAGTTCTCAAAACTACACCTATGGGAATTATTCTATCTTCCAATATGAAAACTTTCAAGAAGACTCATTAGTAGTGACTTATAATAAATGTACAGAAACCCTACCAAAGTGGGCCTTTGTGATGGCTTATTAAATACTTAAAGTAAGGCTGTTTAATTGAAATAAAAATGTAGAGAGTAAAAATAAAAGTAGAAAACCAAGGCCAGAAAAAAAGGGGAGAAATCAATTATATTAACCATGAGAACTAATATATATGTAGAGTGGTTAAGAATTTAATTAGTCTTTGAGCTTATTGAGAGCAGTAAGACAAAAGAAAAACATAATGGGCTAGCTAATTCTTAAAATGTGATAAAACGAAATACATCCATTTCTTAAGAGACAGTATTCCCAGTTTTAATTTCAAGAAAAAATTAAAGCATGAGGCCTTAGAAAGCTGACAATGAGTAAGGTGATGAATAACTATGTCATCTACAAAGATGTTAACACCAGAGAAGAACTAAAGCCACATGAACACCTTTCTTAACACAATGAATGTCACAAAGCAGCAGCCAACAATGAAACACTAGAATCATTCCTAATAAAGAGAAGGGCATGAATTGAATAACTTTAAAATATCTGTCAAAACCAAAAATAGATCATTAAATTCTAGGTCATTGGAGAGGATTCTGAGAGTTGTTATGAGAATGTGGCCAAAAAAAAAAAAAAAGAGAGAGAATGTGGCCTGAATATATGGCTCTGTGATCTAACCCTATGCACAGGAAGAACATGCACCACCTAATATGTATGTATGTAATAAAATGTGAACCACGTGAATCAACAATTACTTGGGGTATTTGCTAAAATGCTGACTCCTAGCTTTCAGTATCTGAAAAAAAGTTTTAAAACAAATCTCAAAGTAGTATTTCTCCTTTAAAAGTAAAAAAAAAAAGGACTTATCCAAAATAACAACTACTATATATTTAAGAATAACCTCAATGAGAAACGTGTAGGAACATCATGAAAAACAGTCCAAGCTTTTTTAGTAAATGAAGATCTAGTAAGTTTTTTAATAAATGTAAATATACTAGATCCATGGGTTGGAAGACTAAATAAGTATTTTAAAGATGCTCAATTCATGCCCTTTTCTTTAGTAGGAATGGTTCTAGTGTTTCATTATTAAGTATGATGTTAGCTACTGCTTTCTGACATTCATTATGTTAACAAAGTATTCTATTCCTCAATTTCTAAAAATCTAAAATCAGTAAATGGTATGCATGTGCATTACATTTGTGGAGCTTCGTTATCAAAGCTACCTTTCTAACATAAACTGGAACACATTCCATCTTTTTAAGCTCTGGAATGGTTTATACAGAACTGGACTTACAGGCTTTAGATCATTTCCTAAAGGGACATTTTTCTGTATATGTATGACATTAGTAACTTCCATTGTTTTACTACATTAGTAATTTTTTACCATTCTTATTGTCTCCATTTTTATAAATGAGCTAAAAAAAAAGATATCAAAAACTTTGTTCAATACTTCCCAGCTTTGTTCATTAAAAAATTAAAATTTTTCAATTTAGTATGATACTTTAAGATGTAGTAATTCCTAAACAAAGCAAGTTTGAATTTAAAATGCTTGCTAAAAAATTTTTCCACAACTAGATTTCCACAACTATAACCACAACTAGATTTAAAAAATGGAGAATTCCTTCCTTTAGAACACTTATAGTACTATCCATACCTCAAAAACCAATAGTGTCAGTAGCATTTTCTAACATGCAGAGTTACATTAAAACAAAGTATGTGTTTTAATATTACCCACTAATAATTATGTTTCTTTTCCCAAGCAGATTTGAGTTCATCACAATTACCAACATGAAACCACTCTATTTTAACCATTATTGCTTATTGATCAATAATTACCATTCATTTTATTTCTGGTATATATTACTCCCAGATCTGCTGGAATGGAGTCAAAGCCACTGCTTCCAATGATATAAACCCCCTTTTCTGCAGCTTTCTCATGATACTTCCAATACATTAGTTCCAGAAACTAAAGATTCAAGACAAAAGATCTAAATCAGAGGTACATAGAAACATCTAGATCAATATTAAAAAACAAAGCAATTAAAAAGCAAATTTAAATGTAAACAATTTAAAAAACAAAGCAATTAAACTGTGAAAATGCTAACTAAGATGCCTCTGCAGCAAAACATTAACTGTGAAAATAGTTGGCACTTATTCAGCAAACATACCTACTCTGTTCCAGGTGAGAGAGATGTTGATCTGAATTAATTCATTTTTTAGAACAATTTTTAAATGTAAAAGTAATTGCTATTATGAAAAATTAATATAAAAATATATAAAGAAAGCCAAACAAAGCTACCCCAAATCACATCTTCCTGATGAACATCATTACAAACACGGATCTGTGCGCATATATAAATAGAAAGATAAGAATGGTCAGAAAGGAGGGGATGCAAGAAGGTAATAACATCTGTTCAAATTCTTTGCCTGTTTTTTAATAATTACTTTTTTAAAACAATTTTAGATTTATAGGGGAAAAAATTGAGTAGTAGAGTGTTCCTAGGCACTCTGCACTCAGCTAACCCTATCATTTCATCTTGCACATTAATGTGTTATAATTTATGAACCAATGTTGATACATTATAACTAACTGAAGTCTATACTTTGTTCAGGTTTCCTTTGCTTTTACCTAATGTCCTTCTTCCATCCAGGATCCCATTCAAGATACTGTTCTACATTTAGTCGTCATGTCTTCTTAGGCTCCTCTGGCTGTGATGGTTTTTCAGAATTTTCTAGCTTTTTATGACCTTTACAGTACTGTCCAGGTACTTGGTAGAATGCCCCTCTATTGAAATTTATTTCATGATTTTCTCATTATTATAGTGAAGTTATAGGTTTTGGGGAGGAAGATCACAGGGGTAAAATGCCACTTCATGCTGTCATATCAGCAGTACATACTGTCTCACAAATATATGGTTACCAAAGCCGGGGGGAGGGTGGGAGAGAGGGATAAATTAGGAGCATGGGATTAAAAGATACACCACTAATATAAAATAGATAAACAATAAGGATTTACTCTATAGCACAGGAACTATATCCCATAATGGAAAAGGATCTGAAAATACACATAGCTGAAACATTTTGCTATACATCTGAAACTAACACCATATTGTAAATTAACTGTACTTCAATTAAAAGAGTACATACTATCAACATAACTTAATCACTGCTGATGTTGACCCTGAGCACCTGGCTGAGCTACTGTTCTCCAGTTTCTCCACTGTAGAGCTTTTCTTTTTCCTTCTCCGTTCTCTACTATACTCCCTGGAAGGAAGCGACTGTGTGCAGCCCACACATAAGAAGGCAGGCGTTATGTTTCCCCTCTGAGGGCAGAGATGCTACATGAATTACACGGAATTCTTTTGCACAGGAGATTTGCCTCTTTTCCTCCCTTGCCCTTTTTTTAAACTGAGTTGCTTAAATTTGCATTTTCGGTGTACACTCTTTCTGGATCACTATTAGGTTTTGATACCACATTCATAGTACTTTACAAGGTAACTTGGAAGCTTTTCACCATTTTCTTTGTTCTAGAATATTTTAAATAAGAGTCAGTTTTTCTTACATTCATGCTTCTGACTTCTTGCATCAGTCTTGGTAAGTTACACTTTCTCAGCACTTTCCAGTATCACCAACTGGTAAGCTCTAAGCATGTATATACTATACTGGCACACGATGACAGAACTGAGATTATAGGGACATAGCAGGTTATAGTTATAAAGGAATCAGTGTAGCTTTGTTCTTAAAATACTCCACTCCCTGCAGTCAGGCAAACTTCGAGTCCTAGCTTTTCAACTTAATGGTTGTATGAGGAAGTTTTAATTAATTCTGTTTACCACATGCAGTAGCGATATAAATCAACACATACTATACACAAAGGCTTTGAAAGAAATCAGGTTGTTGGGAACAAATTCAGAAAAAATGAAGCGAATACCTCATCACCATGCTTTCCTTCAAGCTTTTAATGAAATACTATCTTTAAATGCTAGGGAGGAATCCTTTTACCTTCTAAAATATGTCTGCAAAATTGCACCATTTTTCATGTGAACAGAAGTTGTATTATTAATTCTGTTCTCTTTTCATTTTACATACCTGAGGTTCTCCAGAGATGTCAATACAGCTAGTTCCATTTTCAATACATGCTTTTATTACAGGTTCTCCATAAAATCGGTACTGGGAGAATAAAGAAAACCAACAATTTACTCTTACTTGGCAAGCTTAAATGAAGGAATACCACTGAGTTTTGGAGGTACAGTCTTGGTTATCAAGAAATCAAATAGTCTAAATAGAAAATGAGAAAATAATATAACTGCAATATACTGACACTCACAATGTAAATAAAGGACTGATGGAATTATCTCTAACTGAAGATAAACTCAGAAGTTTCATAGAATCAGTGACTCATTTGAGTTGAATTCTGAAGAACAGTAAGGATTTGTCAGGAAAAAGAAAATCCAAACAAAAGAAAAATTATAGTAAAAGTGTAAAGAAGAGTGATGCCCAAGATACCTGAAGCACAGAATATGAGAGGGAAGTGTAAAGATGAGTCTGGAGAGAAATACTTGGGTCAGATCAGGAATGACTCTAAGTGCCATGCTATCAAGACTGAACTTTATCTTTTCTGCATTGCTGAGTCCTCCTGGAGGATTTGAAATAGGACAGTGATGAAAAATTTATAGCACAGACATATCACTCTGCCTGTGGCATTAGAAAACAAAACTTATGGCAGGTAAGAAATGAAGGACAAAACTAAGGAAGGGGAAGGATTTACTAACGGTGAGATACACTTAAGAGAAATTATTTGACTTCCTGATTAGCAGGACATGGAGGCCAAAAACCAGTGGCTATATTAGACAAAATAAAGAAAAATAGGATGAAGAGATTTGGAAGGGATAAGTTTAATATCGGACACAGTAGATAATCTGAGTGATTTTATCTCCCAAACTATTTGTTGCTCAAACTCAAGGAATTAAATGTTTAAAAACTGTACATAATAGTTAATACATCAGAGTCAGTCTCATTTCAAAAGAAGCATAATGAATTTTTCCTTTTGAGAGCAGGGTAGGAGAAGAACAAGCTCCTCTGCTTCTCTCATTCCTCACAGCAAAAGATGGAGAATGGAGATGATCTGCTTCTTCTAGACTTTAAGAAACAGGTAAAGGGACACCTAAAAGACAGGGCACTGCAGGGACTGACCTTTTCAAGCAGGTTACAGGTTCCTCTCTACCTAACTCCACAGCCTCATCTCCACAGCCTTCTCTCCCCCTTCTTAAAAACAGCAAATGACACTGGAATGACAGGACTGGGAAAGTGTGTTTAAGTTCTAGTTCATCCTCTGCCACTAGCCAACACTAAAATTACTGAAGCACTTCACTTCTGAGGCAACACAGCATAGTGGAACAAACAAGGGCTTTCCAGGCACCAAGACCTAAGTTCACATTTTAAATCCATCATCTACTAAATTGTATGAATTTATTTACAAATCACGGGCATGGATTACTATACTAATATACATTTTTAAACATACATAAAAGTCAAAGTCTATTTTCTTCCTGGACTCAATGGATCATCTTAGGTAATATTTACACACATCCATTTGAAACTCATTTAGTGACTTCCTCGGCCTCCTGATTATTTTACCCCCCAATATCTCAAGCTACCAGTAGTCTACTTGTGTCAGAATCACCTGGGCCCTCGTTAAGCCTGCTGGTTATTCAGTCCCCCCCCCCCCGCCAATGCCCTCCAGTAAGAAAAGTTGTGGGTTAGACTCCGGGAACCATCATTATAAATAAGCCTCACTGATGACTCCAATGTACATCAGAGGTAGAGAACTGCCTCCCTAGACATTGTCCCCAGAAAATCTCACCTACTTTCTGGATTTTAATTAAAATATGTACGCTGATGACTTTCAGCTCCTCTCTTCAGAGCTGCTCACTGATGAGGCTGCTTCATCTGCAGCTTCTGTCATAAAATTCAGGATCCACAAAAGCACAGAACATGCGGCAAAACTAATTTCTCTTAGGCTTCATTTTCCTTCCTCTATTTCCTCTTCATCTTGATTTCATCACTTATTTACAGAAAATAATTCCATTATAATTCCATTACATATTTCCCGTCTTAACTTAAAAATATCTAGCATACACCTCAGTTTCAATATATCCAAAATCAGATTCATCATCTATCTCTCAAAAGCAGTTTTCCCCTCTCCACTTCCGAGCGCAGAAGACCATAAAGAATAATGCTTAAAAGTATTCATTCAGTCATTTTCTGTATATTTTGACATACTGCTTGTTTATAAATGCCTGATTAGTTCTACACATATCATTTAGTTCTCATGAAAGAGACCCTCACAAAGTAGAGAAATGGGTTTTAAAAAATACCTTCAAAGAAACAAATTATGACACCCAAACTAGCAAACTGCCATCTACCCTGGGAGAATAATCCATATTACAAAGTAAAAACAACGTTCAGAGTGTAGGTTAAGGAGCAGAATGTTTTGGAGGCAAAAAGCTAGAGAAGATTGTAAACCATCCAACTGGAAACATCCAGAAGGTAATTAGATCCACCAGTCTGGAGTTTAAGGGGTAGGTTTTCAGTGGAAATAAGTTAATGTAGGCACCATCATCATACAGATGGTATTGAAAGCCATGGATTTCTAATCTTTCTATGACCCTAAGAAATTCATTTCACATAGTGACTCCATACACAAATGTTATCTGACATGAAACCTTCATGAACCAATACTTACCTTTATTATGTGCAATTCATCCTATTTTCTACTTCACTCTATCAGATTATTTTGTTTTTACTGCCTAGTCTTAAATCCACTGAATTGATTTCACAAGGTTTAAAAAATACTGGCCCAGTTACAATTTCTGTTTGGGGTAACGAAAATGTTCTGGGAATAAAGTGCTGATAGTTCTATGAGACTGTGAATATACTTAATGTTACTAAAGTGCATACTTAAAAATGGTTAAAATGCTAAATTTAATGTTATATGTATTTTACCACAATCATAATCACATTTAAAAATGGTCCAGCAAATGTAAACAGAAAAGAGTTTCTAAGGCATAAGCTCCGAGGCCTCTGGCATTCACAGGAGGATAAAAAGCTGGGGGGGGGGGGGGGGGGGGGGGAACTAGGAAAGGGCAAGAATTTAGAAACTAAATGAAGAAAGGAAAAAGCGATCAACTGGAACAAACGCTGAGTGGTTTGACTAAGGTGAGCAATGAGAACTGACAACTGGATTTGACAGGACAGGGATGTTGACATAGTAGTTTCATTGAAGGCCTAAGGATAAAAGCCTGACAAGACTAGGGAGAGGAGAAGGTGAGGAAGAGGAGACAATAAATAAAGAGAACTTTTTTAAGGAGTTTTGCTAAAAAAAAGAGGCACAGAAAAATGTGAGTAGTTAGAAGGGTATGTAGAACTAAGGGATGTTTTTCTTTAAATGAGAGATATAATCCCACATTTGTATGTTGAGAGGAATAATCCATCAAGATGGAAAATTTGATGATAACAAGAACACATGTAACTATCAACCTGTAACTATAAAGTCTTTCAATATGGTGCCCAACAGAAGCAGGGGCAGTTTTTCCTTATAAAAGGAGATAAGGCAAAGTCAAGGCATAATGCAGGTAAGTAGGTAGTATAAATTCTCCCGACAGGCAGGGAGAGGAGGAGGGAGAAAGGGAAGGAGAAAGAAAGAAAGACAAAGAAAGGAAGAAAGTTACCAGGTAAGAGTGAGAAAAAAGGAAAAAAGGAATGGGATGTCAAAAGTATGAGAAAAAAGAAGTTATAAAACTGTTGCTTCAGAGAATAGAAGAGAAAATAGCCTAGGGAGATAGAACTGCTGGATGTACTGAGACTGCATATGAGGTTTGTAATCACATATTTTAAGTGGGACCAATCAACATCATGATGCATTTTTTTCTCCAGCCACACTGGGTTACACATGTTCAGGTAAACAGTAAGCAGGGAGCTGGAACAATCAGGGCTCGGGTCTTTCCAGAATATGGGTAGGGAGGGACAAGTTGGTTGAGGATGTGTATAAGACAGTGATTCAAGCCAACAAACCACAGAGCCACATTCTAAGCTAGTTAAGAACAAAATAAATTGAAATAAACAATAGAAATATATTTTATTTTATGACAATCAAAAATTTTCTGGTTTCATTTAACAAAATTATCAACAATTTCCTAAATGCTTTGATAATTAGGACTGCTTCCTCAGATCAGTAAATGTCACCAACATTCACTGTGTTACACAGACCACAAGTATCTCTTTCTCATCCAGGCCAACAGCAGCAGCCAGAGGTTCTCTTGTCAAAATATCTGGACTCAACCACATCTCTCCCCCTCTAACACTCCTACACTGTCCGTGGCTTGCTTGCATCAGTCTACTCTTGGTTCCCTACCATCTATTTTTCCTCTCAGAAGCCAAAGAATTTCAAAACTGTAAATCAAATTATGTCAACCTGCTTTCAACCATTCAATAACTCTGTCAAATTCAGAAGAAAATTCCAAACCCCAACCTTGACCTTTCAGACCTAACCACCTAGCTCCTGGATATCTCTCCAATCTAACTCCCCATCTCTCTGCCCTGCTCATGCCCAACTACACTGGCCTCTCTCACATTCCTCCGTCTCTCCAAGAACATGCTCATCTCAGGACCTTTGTATTTGCTCTTCCCTGCAACTCAATACCCTTCAATATACACAGTTTATTCCCTCACTGCATTTAGGTCTCTCTGCAAAGTAATACACACACCGCTTATTCCCTCACTGCATTCAGGTCTCTCTGCAAAGTTCCTTATAGAGACCTTCCCTGACCATCCACCCAATAGAGACTGGTGTGTCAATCTTTTTCTCTCTCTTCCCTGTTGTATTTTTCTTCAAAGCACCTGTCACTTACCCACTATTACAACATTATTTTTCTGTCTCCCCACTGGACTATAAGATCCATGAGAGATTTTCTGTGTATTTTCTATATATATATTTCAATAAATATTTATTGAATAAATGAATGAGTCCTTTTAAAATATCTTTCTTTGTACATGCATTAACATATACACTGGTACAGCAGTACACAATGCAATTTTAAAAATAAATAAAAAGTAAGATTGTGGGTACCTGCTCACTTTTTTAGTTACACAAAAAAAGCAATTATAACTGTAGCCACTAAATAAAACAGCAACAGTCCTAGAGTCTAGCGTCACTCTCTCTTTCAGGAGACTTTGGTCATATTCATTTGCTTCTCGTGAGAAGTAAAAACTCCTTATAAGGGGTTAAGGTCCTGAATCAATTCTTCTGTCCCTTGCCCTTATGTTTCTCTGGAATACAAAATACCAGACTCTGCTAGAAATGAATAGATTTTTTGTTCTGACACAAAGAAGGGCAGATTACTTACTGGGCCTACACAGTTGAGGACAACTGTTGCCTGTTTAGCCATTTCATCAAGTGAGGCTGGATTAGTGATATCACAAATTATTATTCCAACTTCAGATGGCAGTGTCGGTCTTCCTGAAATAAAGAATAAATTGTTTTAGGCAAATCCCAATACAGTATTAGATCTCCTAGATCTTCCTTTCATAATAACCAGTGATGGCAAATGTACTAAGAGCTAACTCTTCCTCTCAAACAAAAGATAAAACTGTTTTTAACAAGGTAATTTAAAAAAGGGAAAAGACTATGAGGAAAATGGAGTTAATGCTAAGGGTTAATAAAACATTGTTGTTGTTGTTGTTTAGTTGCTAAGTTGTGTCTGACTCTTTGCTGCCCCAGGGACTGTAGTCCACCAGGCTCCTCTGTCCATGGGATTTCCCAGGCAAGAATACTTTGCCAGTTCCTTCTCCGGGGGATATTCCAGACTCGGATCGAACCCCTGTCTGCTGCACTGAGGGGATTCTTGACCACTAAGCCACTGGGGAAGCTCCCAATAAAATAATTTATTAATGTTTAAAAGAAAATCTAACATAAGAAATGTGTAAATGCACTGAGGAAACCAGATCTGAAAGAGACACATGCACCCCAATGTTCATCGCAGCACTGTTTATAATAGCCAGGACATGGAAGCAACCTAGATGCCCATCAGCAGACGGATGGATAAGAAAGCTGTGGTACATATACTGAATGGAATATTACTCAGCCATTAAAAAGAATACATTTGAATCAGTTCTAATGAGGTGGATGAAACTGGAGCCTATTATACAGAGTGAAGTAAGCCAGAAAGAAAAACACCAATACACTATACTAATGCATATATATGGAATTTAGAAAGATGGTAACGATAACCCTGTATGCGAGATAGCAAGAGAGACACAGATGTATTGAACAGTCTTTTGGGCTCTGTGGGAGAGGGTGAGGGCGGGATGATATGGGAGAATGACACTGAAACATGTAAATTATCCTATGTGAAACGAATCACCAGTCCAGGTTTGATGCATGATACAGGATGCTCGGGGCTGGTGCACTGGGATGACCCAGAGGGATGGGATGGGGAGGGAGTTGGGAGGGGGGTTCAGGATGTGGAACACATGTACACCCATGGCGGATTCAAGTCAATGTATGGCAAAACCAATACAATATCGTAAAGCAAAAGAAATAAATAATTAAAAAAAAAGAAATGTGTAAATGACAACTCTATGTAAAATGCCAATTTTACAAGTTTTCAGAAGATGATTTTCCTGACTTCCTCTCCAGGAAGAATTATAAATGCAGTTTCTTATCAACTATTAAATAACTACATATAATAAAATTGAGGTGGAGAGGAGTTAACATTAACATAATGAAACAAAACAGGACTGAAGCGTAAAACACAGTCTAGGGGAAAACATTCAGGTTCATAATAAGGAAATAATTGGAATAAACTGAATCAATAGAGTACGAAGGTTTCATGGGTCAAGGTATATTCCCTGCAGTAACCTGATGTGTGTACTGTAAATGGCAGTTAACTAGGCTGTATCCGTACCATCTTCTTGAACAAAAAAAAAAAAAAAGGAGGAATTTTTTAAAAGGAAATTTTAATAATGAAAGTATTTCTTCTGGAAAAGTAAAGAAAGACCAAAAAGCTCTTTGGAAAAGATTCTGTACTTGGTAGTGGCAGCAGGAGAGCTGCAGAAGAGTCAGCCTACATGGTATCTCCTGTACAAACCACAAACAAAACAGGTTCCAAACTCCCACCATAACAGGGTTCTGTGTAGAATTAGAAGGAAGTGAGATGAAGCTTAAACAGAAGAATGAAGAATATCCAGAACTCTAACAGGTGCTATTTGTCTGTATGAAGGGGCAGTAGGGTGAAAAATTACAGTTAAAAGCAACCGACTCCTAACCTAAAAGTCTTCCTGCAACCCCAGGGCCATGAGGTTAGAGTGTCTGTGTATGTGACTCCTCCTCATCATCTGAACTCCCAGCATTTAGAATAGGACCTGACGTTTAAAAGACCACTCAATAAAAACATGTTCCAATGAATGCAGAAGGAGTAAGTAAACACCCAAAACAAAACCACACCAAAAAACTTGGGGAAGGATTAATAGTGGGACTACTGGAGAATTCTTACAAGCAAAAATGAAATTAAAAATTAAAGCCACCAAAAAAAAAAAAAAAAATTAAAGTCACAACAATGTTATCATTAAAAGTCCTAAGCTTTCTCTCCCATTTCCAAAACACGGCAAAGAGAGAGTACAAACAATGCTGAAGAAGCCAGTGCTCTACTGTTGTATCCGATCAAGTATCTAGAATTTCCAGCCCCTGAACCCTGGAAGTAGGGTACAAGGTACCCCTGCTCTAGACGGGGAGGGAGCAGAAAGGAAAAACTAAAGTTCCTGTTTCGCCCGAGGGCATTCCCTAAGGGAGAAACTGAAGGGGGGATTTCTCTCTTTTTGTTTTAGGAAATGGGGACAAGCTCTCTGACACCATGTGAAGCATTGCTCTCTTCTTCCTGGCCTCTAGCAGGTTTGGGGACCTCAACGGGCACCCAAGGGAGAGAAGCGCTTATTTCAGGCGACGGGAACCCCTCAGCCGGGAGAAGGGGACTTGTGGGTGACAGCCGCGGCGGCGGGGCCGAGCCCGAGGTCCCGGGGCGTCCCAGCCCACCCCCTTTACCCAGCTTCATGGCAGCCCGATCCAGCACTCGCAGCAGCTTCTCCCGGGAACGGCCCGCCACGGCCCAGGGCAGATGGGAGGTCCGCTCTGGGGACACCTGCTCCCGCGCCACCTCCTCGGTCACGAACTGGCCGGTAAAGCCAGAAGCGCCGAACACCACCAGGTGGAAAGGCCTCTGCTGGGTCGCCATGACGAACCCACAGCGATGCAAGGCCCGGGCGGGCTGAGCCCACGGCGCCTGCGCCTCAGGCAGCGACCACAGTACCGGGCGCAGCAACCGCCTCCGCCGCGGCCGCTGCGATCTCAGCAGCCGGCGCGCCGCGCTCCCGAAGTCCAGCGCGCGCCGCCTCGCCACAGCCAGGCCCGAGGCCCCGCCCACGCCTTCGGGTGCCCGGGGGGCTGCCACGCCCACTCCTCACGGGTGTTCGCCCGAGGGGCTGCTGGGGGCCCTGGCCCGCTTCCCAGGTTGGCGGGAGCAGACGGTGGCCATCCTCCGACCCGTCGATGGTCTGGCACAGCTCTGATCATCTTTTCGCTCTTCCTCAGGCTGGAGGGAGCGGCGGCTGCAGCCAGTTACTCCTGGGTTTTTTGTTTTTGTTTTTTGTTTTTGGCAAGAGGAGGCTGCTCAAAGCGAGAGTTCGCGAAAACCTGATGGATGGGAACTCTGCCCACGCCGAAAATCCTTATCTTTTTGTTTGTTTGCTTACGAAGCACGTTACCCAGAGTGTCTGCCAAGCCAGGTGGAAGTGGAGGGTGGACACGGTATCTGGATCCCCCTCCCAGGGCCCAGGGCCGACTCTGCAGCGCCCTCTGCCGCAGGCTCCGCCTCCACCGTCTGCGTGCCCTCCGGTCACCTCAGGGACCCTCCTTGGAGATGCAGAACACAGTTAACGGTGAAGCTCCGCTTAATAAGGACTATTGTCCAGGTCACAGCCTCTCAGATGCCTCTGAGGAGCTATTCTGAAGAGATGGGGAGAGGTCAGTATATATGGGACTTTAGTGAAGGGGAAGCAAGCACACAGTTTGGCAGAAGGTTGTTGCTTACTTAGGAGGCAGAGATGTCTCCGTTAATGATTTTAGTGCTTTTCTAGGTATGAGAAAATGTAATGTAAGAGATTGGGCTCATAAAATCTCCTCCAAATAGCTGACTATCTGAAGATCTGTTCTGCCAACTTTCCCCAGGACACAGAGTGGTTTTTGCGGGGTGGGGGGGGGGGGGAGTGTTGAAGGTCAGTGATTGCAGAGGCTAGTGACTCCATTCTTGTAGAACCAGATGGCGAGTGACAGCTTTTAGTTGACTGTATGCATATGAAATGTTAGAAGAATAAATGGCAAATCTTTATTTTTAAAAAGAGCTGTGGGAGCTTCCCTGGTGGCTCAGTGGTAAAGAAATCACCTGCCAGTGCAGGAGACAGGGTTCCGTTCCTGATCTGGGAAGATCCCAAAGTTGCAGAGCAACTAAGCCCGTGCATCACAACTGTTGAGCCTGTGCTCTAGAGCCCAGAAGCGGAAACTACTGAGCCCACATGCCCTAGAGTCTGTGCCCTGCAGCTAGAGAAGACAGTGCCATGAGAAGCCCTGGCACCGCAACTAGAGAGTAGCCCCTGCTCTCAGCAACTAGAGAAAAGCCCGTACAGCAACGAAGACCCAGGACAGCCAAAAATAAATAATTTTTTAAAGAGCTGTAAAATGCTTAAAAACACCTTGCATATCTTAAATAGTCAATACACATTAGCTATTGTTAATAGTAATAGCAATAATTATTGAGGAATGGGTTTGTATGAATTAGAGAGGAGGAAAGGGACTAGTACTTTTCACTTTTTAACCTATTTATATTGCAATAACTTTTGTTTTTATCTATTTGACTGTGCCAGGTCTTAGTTGCAATATGTGGGATCTAGTTCCCTGACCAAGGATCAAACCTGGGCCTCCTACGTCGGGAGTGCAGAGTCTTAGCCACTGGACCACCAGGGATGTCCCTAAACTTTTTTTTTTTTTAAAACAGCAAGTATATTACTTTTATAATCAGAATTTTTAAAAAAGGAACAGGAGCCCGCTTTGAGAAGGGGCTAGGGAGCAGCTGTGGGGATCATCCCGATCATTTGCAGTCCTGCTGCTGAGGCCGGTTCCTGTTGCCACCTGGACAGGATTTTTGGTCCACTGTCACACACAATAATATGAATAAATCTCATAAACACTAATTTGAATAAAGAAAGTTGGGTAAAGAAAGAATACATCTGTATGATTCCCTTTATTTGAATTTCAGAACGAGGCAAAACCCATCTATGGTGACAGGAGTCTTGGAAGGATTTGCTCTTGTGTTGAGCAGTCCCAGGTCAGGCTCTTTTCTTTTCTTTTTTTTTTAATTTACTTTATTGAACTAGAGTTGATTTGCAATGTTGTATAAGTTTCTGGTGTACAGCAAGGTAATTCATTGTACATATATAAATGCTATTTTTCATATTCTTTCCATTATAGTTTGTTATAAGATATTGAATATAGTTCCCTGTGATATATAGTAGGATCTTGTTTCTTTATCTATTCTATGTGTAATAGTTTGCATCTGCTAATCCTAAACTCCCAGTCCATCCCTCTCTCATTTCCCCTTCCCCTTGGCAACCACAAAGTCTGTTGCCTATATTTGTCTGCTTCTATGTCCTAAATAAGTTCATTTGTGTCATACTTTAGATCCCATGTATAAATAACATCATGGTATTTGTCTTTCTCTTTCTGGCTTATTACACTTAGTATGATAATCTCTAGATCCATCCATGTTGTTGCAAATGGCATTATTTCATTAATTTTATGGTTGAGTCGTATTCCATTGTATGTATGTACCACATCTTCTTTATCCATTCATCTGTTGATGAGCATTTAAGTTGTTTCCATGTCTTGGCTATAGTAAATAGTGCTGCTATGAACATAGCATGTATCATTTCAAATTATAGTTTTATCCAGATATATGCCCAGAAGTGGGATTGCTGGATCCTACAGCAACTCTTTAGTTTTTTAAGGAACCTTCTTACTGTTTTCTATAGTGGTTACACCAATGTACATTCCCACCAACAGTGTAGGAGGTTTCAGGCTGTTCTTAAAGTAAGCCTCTATTTGACGGATTTCCAAGGAATTCCTTCTCTCCAGGAACCAGCAAAGAGGTTCATTTCAATCCCAACATAGCACCAAGAAGGGAAGATGCCTCCCCCTACAACAGAAGATGGGTTGACTTGTGGACAAGGCTGCTGACCTTCACAGAGATGGAGACCCTGTCCTCTGAGGCTCAGGGGTAAAGGGTAGGAAGTAGCAGGGGAGGGGAGTGAGAAGGGAGAATTCAACTGTGAGTGGTTGCTAGGTAACAGCTTTTTTCCTTGACCATCAGCTGGGAGTGGTTGCTAGGTAACAAAGCTTTTCTCCTTGACCAAATTCTAGCCAGGCTCCTCTGAGCCCTGTTCACAACCAGGCTTCAACCTTGGTCTACAAAGACCTGGGCAAACACTGATGTAGTTTATAACAGCTCAAGGATGCAGCCCTAGGATGACACTACACTCCCTTAAAGTGCCTGCAGGAGAAACATCAGGGCTGCAAAAATAATGTACTGTGTGTTGCAGCCAATGCCTGAAGACAGGGCTTCTGTCTCCCAGCCTCAGTGGAAGGGCAGGAGCCTGACTTCAGTAAACACTGATTAGCAAGTCCAGATTGGTAGCACACAGACCAACTGCTTACCACCTTTTGTGATTTTTCCCTGACTCTACTGAGTTCATCTCTGTCCCTATTCTCTCCTGATCCCATTAATTGTTCAGACACCTCTGTTGAGTTCAGTTTACACTGGACTCTTTTCCCAACTGTAATAATGTATTGCTGATTAAAATCTGTCCTTACACATTAACTAGTATTTGGCTTTGTTCATCTTTGATGTAGTAAACCATAAAGAGATAAATATAGGAACATTGAGGTCATCCTAAGGGTCCATTTGCAGCTGAAAGAAGAGAAAAACCAACTTGCACTATGCAGGTGGGGCTGCAGCACTCTAGGGCCCAGCAGGCAGAAAGCAGACATGGACATGACCCATATGAGGACATGGTGTGGCTGTTATGGGTAAATGTGAAGGGGCAGAAGGATGGGGAGTCGGTTAGAAGGTTTTTTGATTGCCAGAATTACCTGCTGAGCTCCAGCGAGTAAATTATGCCTCTAAACATAAGCAGAAAGCAAGGAAAGCAACAAATCCAAGTCAGAAATTCCCTCATGGGCATTTAGAACACATTGTGCTGTCAGCATACTGAAAGCTGCAGAATGGTGCAACACAGGTCCAGTCTTTCCGCCAACCTCTGCCCATCCTGCTGGAATGACTCAATGAAAAGGAATTAGTTTGGGTTGATCTTATAATAAATCAAAAGAAATTAAGGTTTGTTTTTTTTCACCAACTAAAATAGCTATTTCTTTTTTTCTTCCCTTTATTTTTATGTATGATTTCCTCCTTTTTTCTACAGTTAATCTAAAGATGTGTCTGTTAATGAAAAGTCCTTTGTACAAATCCTCAGAAATCTGTGCTTTATTATTTTTAATAAATGAAGTAGCCAGTGGTGCAATAAGACCAGTTATTAAATTTTCAGAAATTTTGTGAGCCAGTTGACGCCATATTGGTAATTTGAAATCAGCCATGGTGGGAGTATTCACATTATGAAAACTGGAAAGCACTAGAAATCTGGACTTTTCCCTTAAGAGATTGTTAATATTCACCAGCATATCACCAGAAACATTGTAAAAAAAAAAAAAAAGTAAAAATCGAGAATATTGTAGAAAGCAAGAGAAGTCTGAAAAAAGCTCTTTGATGATAAAATTAAAGATCAGTTTAAAAGAGAGGAATCTAATTTTCCTGACCCTGTCAATGAATCAGTTTTTTATAGGCTAATTATTCAACCTCTGGTTTCTGAGTTTCCTTTGGGTAGAAAGATAATAGGACCTGATGACAGGACCTGATGACAAGCCCTTATTTAATAAAAGTATGATAAAGCCGTGCTGAGGTTCATGGGGTCACAAAGAGTCGGACACGACTGAGCAACTGAACTGAACTGAACTGAAAGCATATATGTATTTAAGCAGTGATAATTTTCTATTTTGAAGTGAATGTACCTGATCTTATACGTGATATAACTTTGTCAGGCAGTGTCATCCTCAAATAATGACCTGAGGTATTCTGAGCAGTCTTTTTCAATTTGCCTATTTCTAAACTAAAAAACCATAGATTGCAAAGACAACGTCCCATGAAGCAATACATAATATCTTAATCTTCCCATATGCTCAAAAACTTAATCCTTCAGAAACATTTTACTCATATATACCTGCCAACTGACAAAAGTCAAACAGCTTTCCACCCTTCAACAGCGAAAACAACGAGCCTTCAGAGAGATCAGAGACCAGCACAGAAATCTCACAGGTGCTTCTATATTCAGCAAATGACATGACATTCCCGCTGAGGCCCACAGGAGACCACCATGCCATCTATAAAGAGTACTGAGTTGATATTTTTGTACTGCTATCTGTCATTTTTAGTGCATGTGATACTTGAAAAAAAAAAAGCCTAAGATTAACATTGTGTGAAACTGAGAACCTACTATGTGATAAAAACCATGCACATCCCTTTTAGACACTGCTGTTGCTCCCAGCAAGTAGAGACTTTTATTAAGCTGTAGTGAACAGAAGTTCTCCAGTCAACCTTTGAGCCTTGTATTACAAAGATCAAATTTTGAAACATTGGTCTATTAGGAAACTCTGCATACCACACTGCCAGTTTACTGGTAAGACAGGCAGTTAGACTATTTGGTCTGTATTTCCAGAGGACTCATAGTAATAATAGCTACCTATTATGTACCAAGTACATGCCAGACACTTTACAAATATTTACAGCTCTGCAAGTTACACATGTAATTTTCATATTGTTACCAAACTGAACTTGGGTTGGCTTGCCCATGTGCAACAAAGCCAATGTAGTCACAGTGTAGAGGACCAAGCAAGAATGGGCAGCTAATGCTCAGAAGACCCACGCTCCCTGATAGTTTTCAAGGCAGGCTTTTGAGAGGCAATATTTGGGATGAGTGTTGCAATTCATGGACTTAATTTTGATTGGTTGGTGCTGAGGTAACAAGATGCTGTTTTGGGAATCTTTAATCATCAGCTTTCTGGTTCCCCTCAGTCTGGGGTCTACATAATGTGGTCAGCATGTAGGCACCATCCTTCACCTGGGTGAGGGGCTTAGTTTCTGCAGAATAACCCAAAATATTCATCAGATTGTTATATATATCCTTTGAGGAAGAACTACGACTTTGTTTTATCCCTGAAGAATTGTTAAAGCTGTCATTAACTTTCTTGCTGGACTGCTTTTCCTTTTTTCCCCTGTTTCCTCACTTCCTTAATTAGTAACTGCTCTTTGAAAGTTAGAGCAGGTCTAGGAGACTAAAGCCTTTTCTCAACAAAGAAGAAAAGAGGGACAGTGATACCTCATTATAGTTTTGATTTTCATTTCTCTAATAAGTAGTGATGTTCAGCATCTTTTCATGTGCCTATTGGTCATCTGTATGTCTTCTCTGGAGAACTGTCTTTTTTAGGTCTTCTGCTTACTTTTTGAATAGGATTGTTTTTTGTTGTTGAGTTGCACAAGCTGTTTGTATATTTTGGAAATTAATCCCTTGTTGCCTGCATCGCTTACAAATGTTTTCTCCCATTCTGTGGGGGGAGGGAGTCTTTTGGTTTTGTTAATGGTTTTCTTTGCCGTGAAAAAACCTTTAAGTTTAAGGAGTCCTGTTTGTTTATTTTTGCTTTACTTTTCGTTGAAAGACCAATCAAGAAAATATTTTAAAATATTGCTGCAATTTATGTCAAAGACTGTTCTGTGTGTTTTCCCTTAGGAGTTTTAGAGTATCTGGTCTTACCTTTAGGTCTTTATTCCATTTTTAATTTTATTTTTTAAAATGAAAATTACTGCAAAAATCCATGATGAACAAAATATGAAATTTTAAAATAAAGACAGAACCAGTGTTTCTGATTTTTGAGCAAAAAAAAAGTAGGGGTGGGGGCTCAAGATTTGTGTTGGCATGGGATGGTGGTAGCTATTAAGGCATCAGTTTTGGTCATGTTAAGTTTGGGATGTTTATGTAACATCCAGGTGAGGACTGTCAAGTAAGCAATTAGAGATTCTCTATTGCAAGTGAGTTCCTGGTGGGCTACAGTCTGTTGGGTCGCAAAGAGTCAGACACAACTTAGTGACTAAACAACAGCAACAGCGAATTGCAGCTCAGGGTTGAGATCTGCCTGGAGTTATATGTTTGGAGTTATTGGTGTATG